TTCCTGCAATGCACAATCACTGCACATGCAGTTATCCGTGCACTACAGGATGAAATTTCACTAGAAGAAATATGTATATATATTGCTTAAAAGTATTTTCCAAATAATTTTTGGACATTTGCAAATTGAGTTTGCAGTTTTAAAATGTCTTCATCAATGTAATTAAAGCAGTGTCAAGATTTAATTAAATATCAAATTTAAACATAATAGAGATTAACAGATATTTAACTGTACTGTAAATCAGAATTTGATACTTKTTTCATTTTTAGCTAGGAATTGAAGTCTCCTGAATGTTTCTTTTTATTTATTTTATTTCAGTAGTTATTTGTTTTCCAAAACCATTTATGCATTTGAATAATATTGTGAAAGGACTTATAAAACGTCCTATGTGTTTAATAAGGTAGAGTCTTGCACCAGCTGTGATTCTTTACGAGTATGTAATCATTGTCCAGTCTCTTCTGAAAAGTTTTCTATCTGATGGATACAAACAAATAAGGATCTAACAACCTCACAGATTAACAAATTAATGTCAAATTGAGACAATATTAAACGTTCAGAGGCTTTGATCAAGCAATTTTCTTAATATTTTAAATATATTTTGTCAATATACTTCAAAGATCTGGATTGCATTTGTTGTTTGTAAAAGGAAAGAAAATTAACATAAACATAAACAGTTTTACCAATATTTTTATTTTTTTAGTGGAAACTTTTCTAGAAGTGAGGGATAGGCACAGTTATCAAGGAMCAAATCATTGTTAAATGTCATGCCCAACATGTAAAAGCTCTATAATTCAAGCTAGCTTTTCAAGTGAAAGTGCGGAAGATAGACCCCAGGTCCCTTTAAAAACTAGTCAGTTATCAGAGCTCTTCGGTATTGTCAATTTGGAATAATCTGACTTTAATATTTGGTCTTGCAAGGAACTAAAGCAGTTTGGGTGTCATCAGGTACAGGTAAGGTACAGGTACCATACCAGTAAGTGTATGGTGACACTGAGTATGCAAGTTGAGTTGAACACATTAGTTACATTGGTTTCAAAAGGTACTATTTGTGTATTTCGTATCTCTATATGGTTTACTGTGTCAGGGTCTGAGTGTAGAGCTATAAAGTATTAAACATTCCAAGGAAAGGACTTGATAGGTTCAACTTGCATACTGCAGCATCTTGTGGGAGATCAACATTAAGGTTTCTGTTACACTTGTTTCACTGGGTTGTTGCTTGCTTTGCGAGACTGCTTTAGTTTTATAATATTTCCCCCTATTTAATTGCACATCATTATCAAAAAATAAAGACCAAAGTCTTGTCCTTGCTTTCTTCTTTTTTTTTTTGTTTTGTTTTGTTTTGTTTTGTTTTTTTGCTATTATTTCCTAAGCAACTCTGCTAAGGACCTCATATGACTTCTGTTGGATTAATCACCTTTTGCTAGAGGAAAACATGAGCAAAATTTTGCTAAATACAATGAGCACATGAATATTTGATGTCTGAAACAGCAAGAAGCAGTTATTACTGGATACTGCTTTTGGTTAAATCATGTGAAATATTATTTAATGGTGAGATCCACTTTGCTTTTCTCTTTTGAGGCATTTTATTTTTATTTGTGCTGCATTATTGGATATTCTAATTTTAGTGAGGAATATGAAAAACTGGGATAGAAATTTCTTAAATAATGGTAGCATACTATATAAATCAAATTAATATACATATTCGGTTTAGGACAAACAATTCAGCATTCATCTTTAAAAAAAACAAWGATGACAACAAGTCATCTTGACACCAAGTTAACCATGAGTCAGCAGTGTGTCCTCGTGGCCAAGAAGGCCAATGGGATCCTGGCCTGCATCAGGAGGAGTGTTGCCAGCAGGTGAAGGGAGGTGATTCTGCCCCTCTACTCAGCTCTGGTGAGGCCGCACCTGGAGTATTGGGGGCAGTTCTGGGCTCCCCAGTATAAGAGGGACATGGACCTTTAGAGAGGGTCCAGCAGAGAGCAACCAAGATGATTAAGGGACTGGACCATCTATCATATGAGGAAAGACTAAGTGAACTGGGCCTGTTTAGCCTGAAGAAGAGAAGACTGAGAGGAGATCTGATCAACTGGTGTAAGTATTGGGGGGAGAGTGCAGGGAGAAGGGGGCCAAACTCTTCTTGGTGGTGGCCAGTGACAGAGCAAGGAGTAATGAGTAAAAGTTGAAACACAGGAAGTTCCATCTCCATGTGAGGAAATTTCTTTCCTGTGAGGGTGACAGAGCTCTGGAACAGACTGCCCAGAGATGTTTTGGAGTCTCCTTCTYTGGAGATCTTCCAAACCCACCTGGATGTGACCCTGTGCCCCCATGCTCTAGGTGTTGGACTAGGTGATCTCTAGAGGTCCCTTCCAACCTTAACCATTCTGTGAAAAGAGATGGTTGTGGTCAAAAGAACAATATTTCTTCTATTCAGTGAGATATTGAAAAGAATAGAAATTCTGATTTGTAATAAGTACAAAAGGCAGCATTGAAAAACACTGGGGACGTAGGGAGACTCAAAGTGTTAAACAACATATAATCAGTTTGAGAGACAGGAAAATTAATGTTCCAAAAGAATATGCTCTTTGTACATGCAAAAAGAATATATAGAATTTAATGAGGCAAGATACTATCAAAGCACAGTGGGATACAGAAATAGGTATTTGTATGGGTAATAAAAGTATTTCAAATTACACAAAGTAGGATATGTAAGGCTTCTGATCTCCATACATCAGAGTGTAAGCCAGCTAAGCAAGGGAAAAGAAAAGAAGAAAATATTTGCATTTATAGCAGTCAGTTACATAATTATGCATTGAGAGTTTTCTTAAAGTAGTCTAAAATCATTTGATTTTAATAAAGCATAGTGAAATTAATTGGAACGTACTTAGGGTTTTATGGATTTTTTTTTTTTTTTTTTATTTCTATAGGAAATTAAACCCATACCTGGAGACAGTGTTACTGGACAAAATAACAATTCTCATTTTTAAAGGAGTGTCCTGTGTCCTACCTTGTAGTTGTATATTGAAAAAAGAAATGATGCTAATAAACGGAAGTCTTTATTATTCCATGTCCTATAAATGTGGAAACGTTTTTGAGACTCTGTAGTTAAAGGTAGTGGATTCATATTAATTTTATTATTTCTGTTTTGCCTGTAATTCTCTTGTGCAAGCATAATCCCTGGTAGAGAAAAGAGCTGGGTTGTGTGGGAGCAAGCACCTATTCAAATAACAACATTAATGAAAGTGAGCAGTGCAAATTGCTGGCAAAGCAAAGTACCTTTAGTAGTTCTTCAAGGTTATTTTGGTATGAAAGTCCTTCACAATTCTCTTCCATTATATCCTATATATCCCATGTTAATGTATATCTTTGATTAGCAAGGATTACTCTTTGTAAGTATTACTCAAGTTTATCAGAATGCAAATAAACTGGACTGCAGGGGTGGAGCTCCTTTGTCAAGAAGTGTATTGTGGTCTTTACCCTCTTGTTCCTCTGACTGTGCCCTTGTGTGCATTACCCACATGATAACACCACTTGAGGGCTGGACCCAAGTGTGAAGTGGAYGTTGTGCAGTACAGCACCTTCTCTTTGACTTTAGTTTGGAACAGCTCCCGAAAAGCCAAAGATCTGCACAGTTTATGGGATTTTTCCACCACCTGAGTGAGATATACAGAATACTGAGAGATCTAAAATCCCTGCAAGGAAATCCATGCCTAGACTAGCTCCAGCTGATTAATAGCATAATTTTAGAAACAATACGTTGTTTATGCTACGATACAATCTTCTTCTGGAGTCCCAGGACTCTCATTCATACCCCAAATATATGGCTAAATTTCTCCTTATTACAGAAACCAATGATAAGCACACACATTTAAACCCTGCTTTTAAAGGAAAGAGAAAAATCCTTGCTTCATAGGTGCAAACTAGCTGTTTAGAGGTTAAACTCTATTTCTGTATTTTCAATACTTGTTAAATAGTTAGTCTCCTGCAAAATTACTTTGTTCTTATTTAGGAAATAYATGTTGTACACATGATTCCACCTAATCTTTTGCCACTTTGCAAAGCAAGAACTAATTTCAATTCCAGAGGATTGAATAGCCTTCAATTATACAAGTTTAAAGATATGTCTACAGTTCATAAGGAGTGCATGTACATTATAAATTCATTTAATTGCTCTACAGAGATGCTAATCCTAATTAAGGCTTCATTGGCTTTTTATTGAAAACAGAGTTAAAATTGCCTAATTAAGCATTAAAAAAAAAAAAAAAAAAAAAAAATAAAAATAAGAAAAATTCTAAAATTTAAAATATATTTTTTTTTTTTTTTTTTTTTTTTTTTTTGTTTTGTTTTGTTTTTTTTGTTTTTGTTTTTTACAGTACAAATCTGTGCGTGTTAGCTTGGGACTATCTGCTCTGAAAATGATGTTTTTTGAAAAGGCTTCTGAGCCAGGCAGGCAGGTTTGAGAGCAAAGAAAACAGGAGATGGGGCAGAAGTCTAGAGGCAAACAGAATGGGGCTCTCCMACTTTTTTTTTTTTAGTTCTATGTCTAGTTCTCTCCCTCAGTACTTACTTCTACGTTCCCCTCATTCTCCCAAACATGTTCTGTCTTGCTAATAGCACAGATTTTAATGTTGCGCTTTAGTCACCTTGCAAGCAACCTTAATAAAGCACACACTTCACTTGAAATTTTGTGCCTTAAACAATGATTGCAGTAGTAAAGAGGGAGATATACAGGATACAKCTTAAGATAAAAATGGCATTTGTGTAGTTTTAGAACTGTATATAGCTGGAAATGTAGGGAACATATTCCGAATGTGAGAGTTTGGTTTCTAAAATTCAGAAATTAGTGTGGATACATACGCTATTTTTGATATATTAGAAATGTTTTGGAATTTGCATTTCTTAAGTGGATGAATAAATAAATGAACTTTCACTTTCTAGATTCCTGTAGAAAACCTAAAATTTTTCTGTTTTCTAATTCTYTTTTTTTATTTTCCTAATAGTACAAACAAGTGGAACAGTACATGTCATTTCACAAATTACCTGCCGAAATGCGCCAGAAGATCCATGATTATTATGAACACCGCTACCAAGGCAAGATTTTTGATGAAGAAAATATTCTCAATGAGCTCAATGATCCTCTGAGGGAGGTAAGGTTAAAGTGTCCGTGCAGTTCTTCATGGTATGGAAAATTTTCATGCTTTTGCTATTTCTATATTAAAATGCTATTTCTGTTTCTACGCTGTAACATCATTTGACCATTTATCTGATCCTTGAAAGACCAGGAGAATAAACTTTATGTTAGATTTGATTGATACAAAGAAATATGCATGTTTACACTGTCTTATCTACTAGTCTCTCGGTCATTTCCACAAAAGGATGTCRAAGAAAGTAAAATCCCATTCTTAGTTGTTGAGGCAGACCCTGGTTCACATGTTGCTGATTTCTCTTTACCGTCTTCCTCTTCTGCCATTCTTTAAAATAGAGAGAGGCTGGACTAGAACAGCCTTGGGTGAAAGCTTTGTTCTACACTCCCTTCTTTGTAACCAGAATATCTGTGCAGATGGGAGCAGTGAAAGTCGAAGGGAGAAAGTGAAGGGAGAGCTGCTTTATTTCATTCAGGGAAGTAACATCCTTGGCTAAGAAAGTCTTTACTTGAGATCAGGAAGCTGAAAATATAACAGGATGTTCAATCTATGAAAAATACCTCTTCTATTGCAAAGCTAAACTGCATTTTGGTTTTGTCTTTAAAAAATATTTTCTGTTGTGCTGAAGCATTTGGAATTTTCTTCCATAAGGTGTTTGTGTGAGGGTAAGACAAGGTTCATCTAGCTGAAATAGTAACCTCCGTAATGTATATATTCTCTTGGATGATACCCATGATTCGCCTACTCAAGGATGTTGTTTTGTGCTATCAGTTGACTGATATCTGCCACTAAAGCAAGAAGAAAGGAATAGAGAAGAAAATAGAGTTGAGAAGAGGAGAAAGCTTAAGCAGGAAGAAGAAAATAAACAAGAAAATGGTTAAAAACAGGAGACGTGTGATGAATCTTGTGTAATTTTCGGTGACAACAAGTAATGTGTTTTAATATCCATGGGAGGGATGGTACTGAATGCATGAATACACACATATATAACTCCCAACAGAGTGCGGGATGACATCTGTGCTCTTAACTCCCTACAGAGAACAGGATGATATCTGTACTTTTGAAAACATTTATTGGAGTTTATTCTTTTTAGCAAGGCTTACAGAAGAATAAGTACTTAGATCTGTAAGGGATTTTCTGCGCTGTTGAATCCAACTCTTTGTTGTAAAAAAGACAGGTATTTTATAATCCAATTTTACAATCAATCAAATTCARTATTTAAAATAGTAGGCATATTTGACCTACATCTGTAAGATATAATGCCATACCTGTTGAGAAGCTCTGAGGCCAGCTGGCACTGTCTGACCATTTCCATGTTGTTAAAGTCTTATAGGTGCCTTCCTCCCTTTAAACTGCCAATGGGAATGATGAACTCTGCCCAAAATTGCTGGGTCAGTACTAGATGTTCCAAGTCAAAATAAGGCCAAACCATGATTGTTTCCACAATTTGACGGTACAGATGATTGAATTTCGGTGCCTGGGCCCTTTTAATTCCCTGACATAGAGGCAGCCTTGGAACCCTGTATATTTGTAAGTGTTTCGGAGGGCAGATGGAGGACTTTGGATTTTGCACGGTCAGTTTATCATGATCTCACCTTGGTTCTTTTGRACTGTCATATGAGGAAACAGGAGAAGGTACCATAAAAATCTATTATGTAGGACAGAAAAAGAAAGCCCATAAACTATCCAGAGAGTGCAGTGATAGTCTAAGCATGATTCTTGGCCTTTGTTAAAGAAGTAGGCATATGTACAGGCTCAGCAGTTGACATCAGGAAAAAATCATATCTATTTATCCTTTTAAGGATTAAGTATTTCTCTGTAAATGAAGTTGAATACTCTTCCAGTGCAAAATATTGTACGGACAAAAACAATTCAATTGCAGCATTAACTCTTTCCTCTGTCCTCCCCTCCTCCCCTCCCTCCCTCCCTGCTCATTCTTTCTCTTTTGTTCTTTTTCTTTCATTTCTCCTTGTCCCTTCTTTCTTTCCTTCGTTGTCTCTCTTTCTCCCTCTCGTTCCTTCTCTCTCTATTTTTTTCATAGTAAAAATGCAAGGAAAATTTGGTCAAGCATAAAAAACAAAAATCACTTCTGGGGAGAGATCAAGCATGAAAAATTTCAAAAATTAATGAGCCATTAAAAACACAGAATAAGAATGGAATGTCACCGAAGGGATGGCTTTTGGTTTCACTATATGCTGTATGCAGTATGATTTCTTTGTTTTCCATATTGTACAAGAAGAATTTACCCACCCAGCAGAGTATTTTCATCAGAAATTGCAGTCAGGTTGCACTCTATCCAGATGACAACATAGTGGTTGTTCCAGAAAAATATGAATAAAAAAATTGAGAAAACTGGACAGTGGCAAAGACAGAAGACATTTCCCAAGGATTCTATCTGAATTTTGGCAGCACCTCATGCACTATGCCCTGAAAACATTGCTTAGACATTTGCTTTGTTTAGCAGTTGCAAATATTATTTTAGCTATCACTTCATTATCCACACTTTTGTAGTGCAGGTAGTAGCTTTTTGKTATGACTAAATGAGACCCATTTAAAGATAGAGCACAATTCTTCTTGATTTTGGCCAGAATATCTTATCTTCTTATAACCATATGAGGCTGTAACATCCAGGAGATAGCACAGATATCATAATTAGAATTATCATTCAAGAATAAATATTTGTTGTGGATTTTAAGCTCTTAATAAATTTTATATTTAATTATACCTTCARTTTAATGTGGGGTGAGAAGCAAACATTCAAGGTATCCATGTAGAATAATTAGCAAGATGAATATAGTATCTGATGAAGACATTCAACTGAAACCACAATCTCCTCACTTACAATAAGCAGAACAAAAGAAACCAGACAAACTACCTAATAATTGCAACATGAATATTACTGAAAGCTAAAAAAGTGKKKTTTTTTTTCTCCCTTCTCTCAGCTATTCAAGTTTACTCTATGGTCTGAGATTTTTGTCCATGTCTTAAAAATTAGACTCACTCATTTCTGGTAGAAATGTAAGTAGGAAGTAATTACASATTACATAAATTAGATCTTCCAACTTAAATAAAAAATAGGAGCATATATATGGTATGAAATAACACTACTTTTACAGCTGTATATTCTTACCACACAGGTAAGACTTTTCGGTAAAACAGAATTGATGGTCAGTTGATTGAATTTCTGAAAGTCTCCTATGAAATTTTGCTCTTACTGAAAGTTTTAAGCCCTTTTTTACAGGTAGACTTCTATGATAATAAATGTCAAGCATTCCTGAGAATCAAATAGTCAGGAGAYTCCTGGCAGGTACTTGTTCTGTACAGGTGGATAATTTAAAATTGCTTTAGCCAGRCCAGGCAAGGTTATATTCTTCTGACCTAGCTTTAGTTATACAAAAGTTCAGCATCAAACCTGAGTTAATCATCCTGGCTCACTCTGCACCTCTTCCATCCCTACGTACTATAGTGCAAAGCTAGATGACTATCTTAGAGAAGAGGCTGCATCTTTACACAGCTGATGGTGTAATAAATCTCACCTCTACTAACATTTATGTTTAACAATATCCTTCCCTCACTTTAAGGGAGCAATTGGCAGCTAGTAGCAATTTGCAAATTTCTTTTGTATACATATTGTCTTTGATTCTTCAGCAGACTCAGATACCTTTAAAGTTTTTTGAAGTTCTGTATTTCTTAATTCTGAGTTCTTGCAATCTACATGCTTGAACATCAATCTGGCATCACAAGGTGTTTGTCCCAGATGAGATTTCTAGTTTGGGTCCATCTATCCCCTTAGCCTTCTTCTTTCAGTGTCAGAAGAATGACTACAAGGAAAGCAKAGTATTTTCCTTGATTACTCTACTACACTCCAACTATTTTCAGCTCAGATTTTATGAGCCTAATGTGTTTTCTCTATTTAACTTTCCTTAAGAGGTGCCTCTTTGAATTAATTATTTAATGTCCCCCTGCTGCATGAGGAATCACCTCCTTTTCTTGGAAATGAACCCACTATCTTTTGGGGATTTTATTCTTGCACCAAAAGTGATGGTACAGTCAGTTCCTATGCACTCTTTGCCTGCTAGTCAAGATGTTGTAGTTTTCTGTGTCCTTCCTTTTACTGTATTTTTGCAGGTAAGAGAATCCTATTCCATATAAACTTCCCATGCACAGAAGCATGTTCTTCCCTATGACCACCCTTGCTGCCTTTTTTTCTGTTTTTTTCCCAGCTCTATTATAGCTTTTTTGAGATGAGCTTTTGAGATGAGTGTGCATTGCTTAATATTCCTCTCTATCAGTAATCTCCAACCAGCCTATAAGAAGCCCATYTTAGTTTTATTTTAATGAGCTTCATTTGTACATGTTGCCCTTTCTGAAGTCAAACAGTGAAATTCTTAGTCTTTATTGTTTYCACAGGAGTAGTGAATTTAAGTACGTTATGGTGCCTGTTAAAGACTCATGAATCAGRTATAAAATTCTGAAAAAGATCCAGCACACTGCTTAGTATTACATCAAGAGTTTCTTTTTGTGACAGTTCTTGCAAGGAAGGGACTCACATAACAAAATAGTGCAAAGCTTCCATTATTGGATTTATAATTTGCTAAAAGTAATTGCATCTAAGTAAAAATAGCACTAAAAACAGATCAGCTTGATACCTGTAGGCAAGTATATTTTTAGGTAAGGAATTTTGTACTTTTAAAATAATCRGTTCAGTAACTTCACTCTTCTTCCCAAATAATTTTCTAATTTTCCCTATTAAAATTTACTTAATTTTATAATATCTTTCCTTCTGTTTCATATTGATCTTTAGAAATGATAAAATTTGTAGTTTTAGAATTGGAACTTTATACTATAGTCTTGTGAGAAAAGGATGAGACATCTACAGAATTAATAGTATGAGGCCCAAATGAGGTGTGATTACAGAACAGTAAACATCAGTCTTTTTCAAAACTGCAGTCATTATGATTTTTGAATATGGGCCAAAAAACATAAAAATAATAACAGAAAAT